TGTTTATATAGTCATTTATAACGTTACAAATATTATATTTTGACTACAACAAACATATCATATGGATAATTCTTAAAGAAATTATCATTATAACGTTAATATTCTAAAAGTGATAGATACGACGGACCAGTATAATAAATAGATTTACAGAATATTACTATAGTAATAATAAAACTGTAAAAGTATGCACTATGCCAAATGCAGCCTCATGTCGAATTGCTGTTTCGTTGGTTCCCTGTTACTTCAGATTTCCCTGATTTTTCAACTATAGAAACTTTGAAACATCCTATTTCTACGGCAGTACATATAACCAAATCCCTTAATGGTTAACTTAACTTAACGGTTAATGTAGCTACATTCTAGTGTATCTTCTTGTCAGTTGTTATGAGACTTGTTTTGTTCAACATCCGCTTCTACCAGAAATAAGGTAGAAAAAACATTTTTGTTGAACGTATTGGAATAATATATCTTATCTGTATACCCTTCTAACGGTATGTACACTTGTATTTAGCATTCCAATAAAACACTTTTATATAAAAGGTACTACATGTAACGAAACAAGATGAAAAAAGGTCCCCGAAACTCGGCAATTATATATACCTATTAATGCTAGTTTATCCTTGACAATTATACATACCTGTCAATGAATGTTTATCATCAACAATTAAACATACCTATCAATGATAATTTATCCTCGACAATAATACATATCTTAATGATGTTTTTACTCTGCAATTACTTACATTTCCCCCATCAAGTCAATAGCTTCCATCAGTCCTTAACCAAGCATAAATTCTCTGTCCATTCCTGTAAACTTCATTTATTCTGTAAGTTACCTTCACCACACAATACTGAAATATAAAATGTATGTTAATAATTTGTATATTTATTTCATAGTTTTATTTTAAAATTTTATAAAATGTATTATCAATCATACTCTTTTATTTTTCCTAACTTCCGGGTATTTATTAATTTATATAGTTTCAATTGAATTTTTATCAGTTTGTCCTCTGATATGAAAACATGCTAAACGGTTAAAATCATATGCAAGTTATATTTTTGTTTTTATAAGTATAATGTCCTGACTCATTTCTTGTGAAAAATCCC